TTTTTTTTTTTTTTACATCTGGGTAGAGCTTTTCTTATGAATACATTTCTAAACAGAGCTTTAATATATATACACAGACTTTATAAGCACTTATTTTAATAGATTTTTCTGCACATACTAAATGTATTACCTTTGTTGGTTTCAATATAAAAAGCCTCAAGATACAAAAAAGACTGCAGCTCTATTTCACCAACTCTAAGATGCCACTGACGGATCATTATTTTACATACATGTAAAAAAAAGCTACAATAATAAATATAAGACACTAGTGATTATAAAAAGACATACCTTTTAGGAGTGTGAAGAAAGTGAAAAAACATGTACCTCAGAATAAATAATATAGGTGTTTGATTAATGCTAACGAGATATGGGAAGATTGATCAGAAGTTGGTTTATAAAATTCAAGATGCTTAGGAAACACAGGACTATTACCAGAAATACATGAAATGTGGCAATCTGAAAAGTACAAATGATTCAACACAATATTCCACTGGTTTGTATAATGTTCTGGAAATAAGTTATTTTTCCTTTAAATTTTCCTGACTTGACCCCAAAATGATTAATTGATAACTTACTTGTTTTCTTTATTCCTTCTTTCCAAGGCACTTTAGGTCTCCATCCCAAGCCATGTATTTTTTCTGACTTCATTGGATATCTCATGTCATTGGTAGGTCTTGGAAAACAAAACAGATTTAAAATGATATTGTAGATCTATATTTACAAATGTAGATACTAGGAGATATATGTTTATGCACCACAACCCAACTTTTCTCTTGACAAAAAATTCCCAATAGGTTTTCTGCAGAAAGTTTGTAAAATCAAGTATATATTTAAAAAAAAAAAAAAAAAAAGTCATCCATAATGCCAGGTGCCTAACCTTCTCTGTGTCTTATCTTCCTGTTTCAGCCATGATCTAGCTATAAGTGAAATACCTGACACATAAAAAAACTCAACAAATGTTCAATGAACGAATAAACAAATACACAAAACCTTATTAGGACTCATATGCCAGGCTGTGGGTCAGGTATTTAATATACATTATAAATAAATGTTAAAATACTTTCATAAGAAAGATGTTATTATCAGCTGGCCGTAGTGGCTCACGCCTGTAATCCCAGCACTTTGGGAGGCCGAGGTGGGCGGATCACGAGGTTGAGATGGAGACGATCTTGGCCAACATGGTGCAACCCCATCTCTACTAAAAATACAAAAATTAGCTGGGCATGGTGTCATAAGTCTGTAGTTCCAGCTACTTGGGAGGCTGAGGAGAACGGTGTGAACCTGGGAAGGTGGAGGCTGCAGTGAGCCAAGATTGCACCACTGCAGTACAGCCTGGCGACAGAGTGAGACTCCGTCTCAAAAAAAAAAGAAAAGAAAGAGAGAGATGTTATTATCCCTAGTTCACACTGGAGGTTTGAAACCTCAGACTTGGAAAGGGTCAATAATTTTTTAAGTCACATAGCTAGTAAGTAATAATGCTATACTTAATCTGTATGGTACTTACGATTATGAAAAAAAATGTTTTACCAGAAAATTCAAAAGAGATAAACTAGTTATTGGTCAAGTCCACATATTTTATAATTTTAAAGGTACCTAAGATTTCACAACCTTTCCCCAATGTTTTAACTTGTTACTCACCTATCATTAACATAATCAACCCAGTTTTCCATTTCGGACTCTGAATTGGTCTCTTTGATCTGTTAAAATGGAGAAGGCTTTTGAGTCAAATTATTAAATGAGATCAGAGAATAACAATGGTATTTAATGGCTGATTAAAAAGAAAACAACTGCTTCATAGCGGGGAAGACAGCTAAAATGAACATCATTTTAGTAACACTGTCTATACTTTATACTAAATTCCATCTGAAGCTCAGATATACACGTTGGATTTTGGTTATTATTCAGTCCCTCTTTCTATTAAATGAATTTATCATTGATGTCCCCTAATATATATGGATATTCATAACTACTGATATAATTATTTTATATGTCACTGTTACTTATTTTAAGACACAATTTTATATTTCTGAAAATGAGTTATGTCTTACAATTAGGGACAGTACATTTAATGAATTATTTTTTCCTGAAAA